TGAACGGTTTAGAATGTTCGAGTGAAGTCTTTGGTCATCTCTCTGGTTATTCCTTTAGGGCAGATTTTTATCAGTGGAATTACTGGGAAACTATATATGAACATTTTAGGGCCATTAATGCCAAGACCTGCTTCCTAGATAGGCTGTACCAGGGTGCCCATCCCAGCAATGCGTGAAGGTGGCTTCTCCCTCAGCCACTCAACAACCAGTGCATGGGAGAGGAACTGCCATTCCAGAGGGAAAAGGGGACCTCACTGATGTTTTCCATCACGTCTCTTTGATAACGAGATCAGTGAAACCTTTCCATAAGCTTAGCTGGCCTCTAAACGTGTCCTATACTCTGTCTGCTCATGGCCATCCTCCTTTTTGGATCGGTTTTTATTTCGATCTTCTTCCAGTTTGCTACAAGACGCTCAGGATGGCCGTGAGTGTGCAGTCATGGTGTGCCCTCGTGATAAGGACATTCATGGCCAACAGCGGCACAGAACACGGAATCTCCACAGTAAGATCATGGCCAACAGCAGCACAGAAGACAGACTCTCCAGAGTAAGATCATGGCCAACAGCGGCACAGAACATGGAATCTCCACAGTAAGATCATGGCCACTAGCGGCACAGGACACGGAATCTCCACAGTAAGATCATGGCCACCAGCGGCACAGGACACGGAATCTCCACAGTAAGATCGTGGCCACCAGCGGCACAGGACACGGAATCTCCACAGTAAGATCGTGGCCAACAGCAGCACAGAAGACAGAATCTCCAGAGTAAGATCATGGCCAACAGCGGCACAGAACACGGAATCTCCACGGTAAGATCATGGCCAACAGCGGCACAGAACACGGAATCTCCACAGTAAGACCCATGCAGGATCCTGAGAACCAGGCTGGCATCCCTGTGGCTGCCGCACAGTTTCCTCTTGGAAAGCAGAAGTCCAGATGACCACTCACCTCCCAAGTTAGTTCATTTCAAAGAGAAAGGCACACTTCCAGCTGCCCTGAGGAGAGTTCATACCTAAGCAGGCAGGCGGGACATTTCAGGATGGGCGACCACTTGTCTCACCAGAAGCAGGAACACAACTGCCCGGCCCTGACGGAGGCGCAGCTCCCCACCTGGCCAGGCGCACTCACCTGGAGTAGTCACAGAACACCTCCAGCGTCCGGGTGTCAAGCAACAGACCGCACCAGGGGAACAAGCAGTGGGCGGGCAGCTGCAGGAGGGCTTCATGCGCTGGGCCGTCGTCCACAGGGAAGTTCACCACAGTCTTCCCCAAGTTGATCATGCAGCCGTACTCAGGGACACCTCTGACCAGGGTCCTAGATCAGAGGCGAGGTTAGCCAGCAGGGCAGAAGGGCCAGCCACCAAGGGGAAGGCTGAAGCCCCCGTTAAGTGTTACACAAAACTCAGAGGAAGCTTGGGGAGCAGGGGCACCAGGACTGGGCAGGGACCCTGAAGGAAGGACATGACCCTCCTGTGGACTCAGTCATGGGGGCTTGTCCTTGAGAGCTTTGCTTCTGTGTCAATGGCTCGAGCCCAGGGTGGCCGCAGCAGTCGGCCAGGCCTAGGTGGCCACTCATCCTCACCCTGCAGGCATCTACCATCCTCTTAAATTTACAAAGGGGCTCTATGGGGTGCCAGCACCTGCAGTGTCTGGCATTGTATCCCTGAAAATGTATGCTGAAATGCCCCCCAGGACCTGCAAGTATGATCATGCATGGATGACATCATTCCAGACTAGAGTGGGTCTCAGAGCTAATGCCTTCTCGGGGTGTCTTATGAGAACAGCAGAGCGGACACGTGGAGGAAGATGAACGCCACGTGAGGGCCCATCCACAAGCAAAGGGACACCACAGACCAGGAGAGATGCCCACAGGAAGACCAACAGCCGAGATCTGACTTACATTTTCAGCCTCCGGAACCGTGAGAAAATAAATGGCCTCCCCAGCCACCCACCTGTGGTGTTTCTGTTACAGCGGTACCATGCGGGGCCCCAGGCTTATTCACTGTCCTCCCTGGGCCTCCCCTCCACGGGGAAGGTGGTGCCGGCCCACGGCTGTGCTGGAGCCCACAGCACCCTCCCGGCCCGTCTGCACCACCATGTGGCCGCGACCCTCTGTGGGGCTGTGGGTGGTTCATAAGGGATGCTGAGATGGTGTACAAAGAATATAAAAGCTTAGACTCAGAGATGGGATACTAAAAATACGGAAGTGGTCGCTGGCCAGTGGATTCCGACTTAGGGTGGCCCCCTGTGCGTCAGGAGAACTGTGCTCCATAAACTTTCAGGGGTTGGCTTTAGGGACACAGGTCACCAGGCCTTTCTTCTAAGGGACCTCTGGGAGGATGTGAACCGCTGACCTTCCAGCTAGCAGCCAAGTGCACTAACCATGCGCACCACCCAGAGCTTCCACTACTTATTAACTATATGCCTAGTGTTAATCACACAGACTCCATAAAAGCACTTTAAGAAACATGTACCTCAGAAATGCCTTAGCATGTGTTAGGTGAGGTGTCACCAGCAAAAAATCATCCACCAAACGCAAGAGCAACCTAAGAGGAAACAAAACAAACAAAAAAAGACAAAAGTTCAGCTTTTAGGTTTATATAATATCTGCTGACAGGGGAATGAGAGCAGAAAAAACTAAGTAGCTAAATTCACACGGACAAGAGTATAAAGTGTCTTCAACGAAGGGGTTCCACAGAATTAAAATTCCCAATAGGGACGTCCTGCGTTGAAATCCTCAAGCTCTAATCCCGTGAGTTGGACACAGGCACATGTCTGTGGGTCTTTGGGGATCCACCTGGACAGGTGACAAGCAAAGGCACCTCCACGTCAGGGACAGAGCACTGTCTCAGACACTCAGGAAAGAAACACCAGTGCCTTTACCTGTTGGCAGCTGGGGTTCTAACCCTGGCTCAGGACCCACAGCCCCCGCCTCTTGGAATGCCCAGTTTGCAGGGTGCCAAGTCTCAGACAGGGAGCCCGGAGCCACGGATCCTGCTGAGTGCTGAGCTGTGGGTACAGGGAGGGGACCCCTGTGCCCTGCCAGGCTCAGTCTTTCTTTTACGTATTTATTTCCACCTGGATTTTAAGCTGAGTTAGGAACCACCTCAATGGACACATACTATACACAGAACTCAAACAGGTGCCCTGACGTTCACTGCAACACCGTTCACAGCAGTCAAACAATGGAAACCACCCGAGAGGCCATCAGATGAACAACCAAACACATACACGTGTGCAGTGGACGATTACTCAGTCATGAAGAGAAACAAGGTGCTGATGCGGGATGGTACATGGTTGAACCCAGAACACAGTGAGGGCAGCCAGTCGGACCCACAAAGGCAAACACTGTGGCCTCACTTATAAGGAGTCTCTAAAACAAACTAAACCCATTGCTGTCCAGCAAATTCTGACTCACAGAGCCCCTACAGGACAGAGTAGGACTGTCCCCAGAGGGTTCCCAAGGCTGTATATCTTGACAGAAGTAGATTTCTGATCTTTTCCCTGCAGAGCAG